TTGGTGACAAAGATTGCAAACTTATTGATATTCTCCCAAAGATCTATGCAAAGCCCAAAAATAGAACCTCCCCCGCCCCCCGCACCCAAGTTAAAACATAGCTTGAGCTTGATTCCAGGTGCAGGATTCATGCAAATTCTGTTTGTACATATCTGTCATTTGCAAGAAGCAAAGGTGTTAGAAACACATGCAAATCTTGACTACCTTCCTGCCAGTTCTCTTCTCCCTCAGTGCCTGAATCTACACAATCTATGCTTTTCTTTTTTTTTCTCTCCAGGATTTGAGCAAACTGAGCTATCACTGATTTAAAAATTTTTTTTAACTTCTTATTTTGGAATACAAGAAGTTACAAAAGAGAACATAGAGTCCCGTGAACCCATAACCTAGCTTTCTCTAAAGGTTGATGTCTTAAATGACTGGAGTAAAATATCAAAACAGGAAATTGACATTGGTACAATACTGTCAACTAGATTACAGAATATCTGTTTTTTTTAAAGCACAAATATTTTGAAGTCATAAAATAATACTTTTGAACACAAATATTATGTCTTGATATTGGATGAGGAGGTTGACAAGGAGTGTAAATACCCTGAAAGCAGTAGCCATGTGTGATGCTGGATATGAAACACCAACAGGCAGTTTTAAGAGCATGCTTCTAAGCTCAGGGTGTGCCCTAAGGAAAGGAAAGGCCCGCAGGAAGTGGAGCAGCATGGACTGGGCAGGGGGAAACGGAAACTTGTTGGAGGTTCAGTGGGACTTCAGTTGCACAGTTTGTGTCTATGCATCCAGAGCTAGGCTGTGGCCATAAAGAAACTGTCCTCACATTCCCTACAACATGTAAGTCTACTTGATTAGAGAAAAGTATATATGACATTTACAGAAAAATTAGCAATTTTTAAGAAATAGATTCTATTTTTTAGAGCAGTTTTAGGTTCACAGAAAAATTGAAATTATAGAGTTCTCATATACCACCTGCCTGCACACATGCATAGCCTCCTTACTATTAACATCATTTTTTTAAAGGATGCATTTTTTTTTAAAGGGTGAACCTATACTGACACATCATCATCACCCAAAGTCCATAGTTTTCATTAGCGTTACTCTTGTCATTGTACATTCTATGGGTTTGGACAAATGTATAATTAGTAGTTTCATTGCCCTAAAAATCCTCTGTGCTCCACTTATTCATCCCTCCTTCCTCCTTAATCCCTGGCATTCACTAATCTTTTTATTATCTCCATGGTTTCGCCTTTTGTAGAATGTCTTAGAGTTGGAATCATATAGAGTATGGAACCTTGTTTGTTTGTTTATTTTCTTAATCCTCACCAGAGGATATTTTTTCCACTAATTTTTAGAGAAAGTGGAGGGGAAGAAGGGGGGCGGGGAGAGAGAGAGGTTGATCAGTTGTCTTCTAGGGAGGAAGGGGGAGGAACCTGAAACCCAGGTATGTGTCCTGACCAAGAATCAAAATGGCAGCTTTTTGGTGCACAGGAGGACGCTCAACCAACTGAGCCACTAGCCGGTCTCATCGTGCAGGTTTTGAATTGGGTTTTCAATCTGCTGATGTGGCACTATATGGATGCCTGCGTCTGTTCCCATTCATGTATGAAGAACAAACATTTAAAAAAAGTTGCCCCTCTCCCCTGTCTTTGGATGGGTGGTGAGGTGAGGGTTTATTTTGGTCTTTTGTTTGGTGTCTCACTGCATTTTCTTAGACATAGGATGGTTCATGGGAGCAAACGGTTCCTGCCAAAGAGCTCAACTGTTCTGAGTGAGATGGGCTGGATCAGTGTGGTCTTCCCCTTCAGGACTCCACTCAGCACCCTGGAGTTAGGCGGTGTGCATCACGAGTCCTCTGGGGAAACTTGTCTGTGGCAAACTGGCTGCGTTTCTTGACCTTAGATCTAGTTCCTTAACCCCTCTAATCTCTAAACTTCCCTTTACTCTCTTTAAAACATTACTGGATTATCTAGCCTTAATAATCCTATGGATCATAGAATCTCCCCCCATACTTGGAGCTGTCCTGTCTTTAAAAAAGTTTGTTTCGGATTAAAGATATTTTTACACTGTCTGCAGGCTTTTTTGAAGGAATGAGTTTCCGCCCACCAGCTTGGGGACCAGAAACTTAATAAAAAGCCCTAGAAGATGGTGAAGATGGGGCCATCAGCAGAACTAGGGGAAGAGTCACATAGATGTCTAAACCATAAACTCTGAACCAGTACATTCAGTTGCACTTGGGTTGTTTATTTTTATTTATTTATTTAAATCCTCATCTGAGGATGTTTTACTGACTTTAGAGAGTGGGTAAGGGAGAGAGGGGTGGGGAGAGAGAGAACCATTGATGTATGAGAGAGGCAACCATTGGTTGCCTCCCATATGTGCCGTACCCTGCCCCTACTGGGTATCTGCCCATCACCTAGGTAAGTGCCCCAAGAGGGGAATGGAACCACGTACGTATGTACCCTGAGCGTGGAATGGAACCGGCAACCTTTTGCTGCACAGGACTATGCTCCTACCAACTGAGCTACCCCTGCCAGGGCTGGGTTGTTTATAAACGGTTTTGCAGTGAAGTAATTTTAGATCCCATAGGGTGCAACACTAATTTACTTGAGGGCTGCAAGGGTGGCACCAATTCAAGCTGCCCCCTTTAAAGTTTAATTCGGCCTTGCCTCCCACTCGTTCACACTTTGCACTTAGATGTCAGAAGTGGGAGGGGGATTAAGTGACCTTCCATTTGCCTGTTCTCCATCAGGTGCAGGAAGTGAAGAACTCAGTCTTTGCTGGGGCAGCAAGGGCCGCCTCTGTAGTTACTGATACACAGGCAGGAACAGTGCGAATGCTTAAGCTGGGATCTCCGAGTCATGTGTACTGTCTCGTGCCCTCAGAGCCCGACCCTGGACAAACACGTTATCAGGTCAGGTGATTAAAGACGCGCCTCCAAGTTTTGGACCTCTCACTTCCTAAGCGGAATCCCACCACAGTTTGCAAACTTAGAGGGTGGAAGAATGCCGCCTCGTTTCCTTGCCCTGTTTGTAAGTGTGTGTGAAAAATCCAGTGGGAAAATAGCAGGCATGCAGGTACACTGGTTCTTCCTGGGCAGGCATCCAGGGGTGCAGCCGCCATCACAGGCACAGCCGGCCCCCCTTCCTGATTCTATGAAACCCCGAGCAGCAACCCCCCCCCCCCGCCCCTCCCCTGCCGAGGAGCGGGCGCTTTGCTTGTGAATGCTTTTCTCTTTGATCAGCGCACTCCTATTTCAAGAGTGGAGTGGGACTCTCCCTGGGGCGTTATAGGGTGTCAAATATGGCATTTGCTCCTAGCCGAGCACCGAAACCGACAGTCAGCAGAGCTGTTGAAGGGAGAGCAGAGATTCCGGGGAGGGCTGGGCTCAAACGGGGCTTGAGGAGGGTGGTCGAGGGCCCCCGCCGGGTGGGCATCGCTCAGCGCTCCCGGCCTGTGGGCGGGCTGGAGTGCAGGGAAGATGAGAGGCCCGGGTGGGGCGGTGCGGGAACAGCTGTGCTGGCCGCCGCAGGAGAGCGGGCACCGTCCCAGCGGAGCCATGTGGGACGTGAGCGACGTGTGCCGGCAGCCTCAGCTCAGGCTATTCTGCTGCAGTGTGGGTTTCAGGGAGCGCCGCCTACTTCCTTGCAATCGCAGCCCAGCCTCAGCTTGAGGTACGCACCTATAGGCGAGGCAGGGCAGTGCTTCTGTGCTGATGCATCGCGCACATCCACGTAACGCCATTGTGCCGATGGCAGTCCCCGCGATACTTTTTTTTTTTTGTCTAAAGTTTATATATGTCTTCTGTTTTTCCAATTGACCCCCCCGCCCCCCAGCCATTCCCACCCTGGGCAAGCCCCCACCGCTCCAGTGCCTGTCCATTTGGATATGCTAATATGCATGCATACAAGTCCTTTGGTAGCTCTCTAACCCCCACTCCCCTACCATTTGTCTCTGGATCCCCCGCCCCAATACTTCTTATGGGGCTTATAGTCAGACTAGAAACTCAGCGCACAAAATTTGTGCACGGGTACAGTCCCTAGGCCTGGCCTGCAATCAGAGCCATCTTCCCCGGCTGCCCGCAGCTGGCCTTGCCCCCCATGGCCATCCACCCCCAGTTCCCTGTTCCCATCCGGTGATCGGAGCCTGCCAGCCGGGGAAAGGGACCAAGAGGTGGTCAGTGCACCTCATAGTGACTGGTTGAGCGGTCCTTCTGGTCGTTTTGCCATTAGGGCCAATTTGCCTATTACCCTGTTATTATATAAGATAATCAGCTGCCAGTTGCAGTAGGACCCGGTTTTATTTACTCTTCTACTACCAGTAGGAGAGATAAAGGCATGTTGAAAATATTGTAAATGGTGACTGAGCGAACCAAGATACTTGGGTCTATTTGGGTCCTCTCTCCGGGGCTTTCCCGCCCCCCTCCTCATGCGCTGCCTGGGTTCCAGATCTTGGGGATGATTGCTGGGAGAGCAATGTTCAGGACAAGTCAAGGTTTCTAAGGGATTTAGGAAAGTGGGCAGGGTGAGGACGAAGGACTGGGGTGGCAGGGATCGTGGTGAGACTCGTAAGTGTTATCAGGGAGCATCTCTGGCAAGGAGAGCTGTGCCCCATGGGCGCTCTCAACATCCTCCCTCAGGCTTCCCTCTCTCTAACCTTTAACAGTAAGTGGAGTCTTCAACTTGACTGTGCCTGACTAGGATTGTATGTTAAGAATGCAGAGTACTTACTGCCTGGCAGAGGTTGCTCAGTAGTTAGAGCATGGGCCAGCACACCAAAGGTCATGGGTTCGATTCCCGGTCAAGAGCAGGAACCCTGATTGCAGTTCCCCTCCCCCCCCTCGCCCTGGTTAGAGCGCATGGGTGGGAGGCCACCAATCCATGTGTTTCTCACATCAATGTTTCTCTCTCTCTCTCCCTCTTTCCCACTTTCTCTAAAACTCAATGGAAAAAAATATCCTCGGATGAGAATTACTAGTAACTAAAAACGTTTTTTTAAAGAATGCAGAGTATTGGGGTCCCACTCCCAGAGGCCATCAGGAGGATGCATTTAGAGATGCTGTCATTCTTGGAGATTCGGCTGCGCGGGTCCACGGACCAGTGGACGGTAGTGCTCCTTTCCTCCCAGCACAGTTGAGGTGATTATTCTGGGAAGCCATGCCCGTTGTTTTTAGGGGATGGTAGGAGGAAGCTCAAGGAGTCTAGGACCGTCAGCCAAAGCTGGGTTTAGGGCGTTCTCTGCAGCTGGTTATCGCACTACTGATGCTAGCCTGCAGGGGGCACCAGCAGGCTGCCTCCTGGCTTGCTCACAGCCCTTCCCCGCCCTTCCCCACCAGCTCCCCACGTGGAGGAGGGGCTGGAACCAGAAGAATGCGTTCCCGCCCCAAAGCTGACGTGTGCATCGCTGCCGGCAGGACTCTTAAAAGCCCACGCGGAGCGCGGGGCATCCTAGCAGAGCTGGAGGGGAGGCGAGCGGGAGGAAACCGCGGAGGGCTGGAGCTGGCTCACTGGGACTGCGGCTGTCACTGCTCTTCGAGCATCCCTGAGTGGGGGACTTCCTGAGTGGAGGGGCCAGGCCCTGCGGAAGTTGCGGGTGTATCCCCAGACCCACGCCCCTTTCGAAGCGCTCGCGGAACCTCTCGCCCCGTGCGAGGGTTCGTCATTTAGCGCAAAGCACGTTTCCAAAAAAGCAGCGCTAGGGAGAGCGCCCGGGCCGCGCTTCCGCGCACAAACTCCCTCTTTCCCTTTGTTTCTGGGAGTCGACAAGCCGATCTCTTCCCCAAGTCTGAATTATTCGCAAGAGGAGGGCCGCCGAGTCTAGGCTGTGAAGATGCCCCTGGAGCTGACTCAGAGCCGGGTGCAGAAGATCTGGATCCCGGTGGACCACCGTCCTTCGTTGCCCAGAAGTGAGTACAGATAGGTGTAGGGGCCGGGCTGCAGGGGAGAGGCGCGCCGCGTGGAGAGCAAAGCCATTGTGGGGCGGGAGCTGGCGCGGAGCTTTTGTACCGACTCCTCTCCTCCAGCGCGCTCCTCCGGGGCCGGGTACCTCCCTCCACCGCAGTCTCCGCTGGCTGGGGCAGGGCTCCTTCCACTCCTCCCCGGAGCGCGGGGAGGGGTTGGCGGGGGCGCGG